TGGGTTTTCATGGGAAGAATTTGCGAGGTTTGGCATGGTATCGCTGGCCTCCAGTGGGCCCGGGAAGGGGAAGGCGTGGGTGGTTTCCTCGCCGACGGTGAAGGCGCTGGCGCAGCAGTACTACAACTGCTCCACACTTGAGGGCATGAAGCTGGAGGACGCGGGGTATGCGGGGTCGAAAGGGTCGCATTGGAAGGCACTCATCGCAAAGGAGGAGATGATGTCTCCGGCGGGCCAGCCGGGGTATTACTCGGCATTTACGCTTGCGGCGTTTGCGGACATGGGCGGCGTGTACAGGGCCAACTTCAGCATGGCGGAGCCGATGAGGTGGGGCAACAACTCCGGCTGCGGGCTGCTGGAAAAGAAGTGCCTGACCGGCGGCCACACCGACTACCCTGACATGTTCTGCAAACAGTTTTGGAATGACAAGAAGCTGCTCTGTACGCATGACCGCCTGTCTCTTGGGAATTGCGACCTCGGGCGACAAAATCAACCCCTTCCGCCGCAGTACCAGTACTTCGAGGACCCCAGGCTTGGCGGCAGGGAGGTGTTTATGGACTACTGCCCGCACGTTACTCCGCGTGCGGTGCATGGGTGCACCAACGGCAAAGCTCATGCGATTATTGGCAGCTTCATTGGCCCCAACTCCCGCTGCGTGAAAGGGAAGGACCTTCAAGTGAGTGGAAAACCCATTGGCGATGTGTGCGTGAACACTCAGTGCGACGGCGGCAAGCTGAAGGTGCAGTTCCGACTCGACACAACGTGGCACGAGTGCGAGGAGGGCAAAACTGTTGAGCCCCCAAGGAAGTACTGGAGCGGGAGTATTGTGTGCCCCAAGTACGCCGATGTGTGCGACGCCCTCCCCAACATCAGCGCCTACCCAATACCGGTGGTTGCGCCGCCGCTGACAGAAGATCCACCAGCCGCAGAGGACACAGAAGCGGCTGAAGGGGAGAATGGCGACGCGGAGGTCAGCCCTGTCGGACCCGGCGGCGAAGCGTGGACGCAGGACGCAGCCGTCGCACACAGTGCCGGCACGGAACGCAGCGGCAGCAGCAAAGCTTCTGAAACTGAGGGTCCGTCTACAACGAGTTCGTCGAGCAAGGCGGAAGGCGGCGTTGGCGGCACCACTGGGCAAACGAATGCGGCGGCAAAAGGCAGTGAAGAAGAGGGGGGCGGTGCGGAACGTCCAACGACGACTGCACTCAACAGTGACTCGACAAACCCCGCGCAGTCCACTGCCGGCGCCCGGCCGCCCGAGAGCGAAGGGCAGACGCAAGGGGCGGCGGCGGCGCAGAGCAGTGGCCAACCCGACGCTGTGCCGCCGCTGCGCGGAGGTGGGAGCAGCGGAGGGACCCTAACCCCGGCGGAGGGACGCGGGACAGCCGCCGCCGAGGCGCAGCTGCAGGGTGGGGCGGCGGGCCCTAGCACCGCGACTGAGAGCGCCGCGCCTACCGCGCGGGCCGATGCGTCCGAAGTCGCTCCTGCGGCCACCAACGGTGCTGTCGCCCCCGCTGGTGCGAAGGACGGTGCTTCTGCATCGGCCAACCGTCCTTCTGCCAATGCCGCCGCCTCCGGGAGCGAAGCGCCAAGCAACGCGGAAGGCAGTGACGTCACAACCGCTTTGTTTGTGCGTGCGCCTCTGCTGCTGCTGCTCACGGCAGCCCTTGCCTGTGCTGCCGGGCAATGCTGAGGGGACAGCTACACACACGCTGGCGGGGAAGACTCGTATTCTTTGTGCGCTCAGTTTGCTTCTCGTCCCTGTGGCACAATCCTTCTCTCTTCTGTTTTTTTTTCCTTTCTTTTTTTCCTTCCCCCTCTGGTTGCTTTCTATACACAATTCCACGAGTGACGAGATTCCCCTCCTGCTTGCTGCTGTTCCCCACACGCGCGGCGCCGGCCTCGTGGCTCTGCGCCCCGCACTTATTTGACGCAGCTGCCCGATTGAAGCGCAGGCCGAACGCCGCATGAAATGTGAGAAGGAAGTGTGGGCTGATGCAACAGAGCGACGTTTTCCTTTTTTGTTTGTTTCTTTTTTGCTTTTTTTCTTGCAGGTAAATATACACGCGCTCACGCTCACAGTCCTCTTGTGCTTTTGGGTACTTGAGGGGAGAAGAAAAAAACCTGACGAAGTCATTTTGTTTTATCATTTTTGTTTTGTTTCCCGGGCCTCCTGCTGGACGTAAACCTCTTTTTAAATGCTTTAATTTTGTTTGTTTGTCTTTGTTTCGTGGGGCAACTCACCGCGGCTCACTTTGAGTTCGTGCGCCGTGTCTGCCTGCCGCTGCCGCTGCCGTTGCCGCTGCGCGTCTCGGCGCTGTGTTTCCTTCCGCCGCTGCCGGCTGCGCCGCCGACACGCCTCCATTTCCCCCTCATTCCTCCTCTTCCTCGCTAGAGGCAGCGGTGGCCCGCGAAGACGACACTTTTTTTGTTTTCTCCTCCGCTGCGGCGGGAGAGGACAGGCGGGGTGTGTGTGCGGCGCGCGTGTTTGTGTGTGGCCTCCCCACGTTGTGGCCATTGCGCCCTTTGCGCGTGAAGGGCCCGCCCTCTGCTGGCCGCGTTGCCCGCGTTGGGTGTTTTTGCGCTGGCCGCGATGAGCTCGTCATTTCTTGCGTTTTGGAGGTGCGCTGGGTGCGGGGCGTGTGCGTGTGCGTGTGGCTGTGGGCTTCTTCTCGAGCCTCCTGGCGGCTGCCCGTTCACGCCCCGTGGGCCGCCGTCGCGCAGCGTGTGAACTGTGCGGGGGGCGGGTGAGGCGCCACAGACCCCCTTCGCCGCACCCTTTTGCCCCCTTTTCGCTGCGGGGGCACGGCGAAGAAGCGGAGGCGCGCTCGTGGCGCAGTCCGGGAGGAGGCGACGGGCGGCTGCGGGTCGGCTCCCGTCCCCACCGACGGGCGCGCGGGGTTTCGGTTTCGCAGGCGGCTGCGGGGCGGCTGGGAGGCGGGGAAGGCGGAACTAACGCGACGACTTTGCGGACGCACAACTTCGCCCTCGTCACGCGCGGGCTGCAAGGGCCCCGTCGAAGCGGCGGCAGCGGGCCGACGGCACTCGTTGGGCCGGCTGGGCGGCGGTAATAACGGCGGCGGGGGGCAGAAGAGAC